AAACGCGTTCAGCACTTTAGAAGGGAACAAATAGACGCTCACGTTGAACGCTCACGTTCCAGTTCAGACAGTTGAGTGGGGACGTGTGTTTACCGGGCGACCGGCCACAAAATTTGGGCATAACGGGAAAACGCATGGATACTATTCCAGAACAGGCAGCTTCATTCAGAATAAATCTGCAGCCAGCTAAAAAGTGCACAATTAATATTTCATAGAGCTCTGCGGAGCCCATTCCTAATGGACCATATTGATCAAAGGAAGAAAGCTAAATATCTGCGTTGCTGTAGGGAATACTAAAGTTGCTGCTTATGAACTGGTCATCATTTCATAGGTAATTGCACTGAATAAAGTATTTTTCCTAGATTTTTGGTATTCTGAACCCTTATATATGTTCATAGGTTAGAGGAAAACTGAAGCAGGTTGAGGGTGACTATTGGCCACCAGCTGAAGTCCCTCCGTCCAAGATGCTGAAGCAAGAGGCAGCTCCATCCGGAAAAGTGGAAACAAATAAGCCCTGTTTCCTCGCTCCAAGGCAAAGGTGTGCACGGATGAAAGGGATTTCACTAGCTCACGGAACAGGCTGTCTTGTCCAGGAAGCAAAATCCCACATGCAAAGCCAAGCACGTTGCCTGGATGTGCTCTGCTACGGAAGCCCTGGGATATGTCCAGTGCAAAATGAGCAGAGAAATCCAATTCGGTTTTATTTCTGTGCATTCAAAAGGAAAAAAGACAACAAAAGTGGTTCAATTAACTCTACCATTTAGAAAAATATGTATTTTTTACTTCCTCTTCTGTTTCTTCAATGTGAAAAAGGGACATAGCTGTGTGGTGAGGGCTGTATAAAGTTCAGTTATGATCAGTTACCTTATATACAGCAGGAGCTGTTTGCATACAAACCTTTCAAAGCCGTATTTGAAATTGTTGTTGGAACCTTTTTCGTGCAACAAGAAAAAAAAGGAATTTAAGAATAATATGCAGCAGAACTACGACAACTGTTTCATGACAAAGTGCTACAATGCACGTGGCCTGCACGGGAAGCAAGATTAATTTGTGATGTGTCTATCTGAGCCCGTTGTCCTTGGCTGAGCAAAACTTCGTGGGACTGGAAGGGAGCTGAGCTGGATGCAGCAAGGAGGCTCTCCGAGGATTCCTAAGCAGTCTTCTCTTTCCTTTTATGGGAAAGAAGCAGTGCAAGGTTTAACAGATAATTCATAATCTGTGCTTCAGTTTTTCATATTAATAGGAATTAAGGTAACAGAAAGAACAAGTAGAAAATTGAAAGCTTTTACAACAACAGCCTACTGTGCATCTAATATGGATTCCTGTGTTGTAGTAATATGTATCAAGTGCTACATAGCAAAAAAAGTCCCTGAGAAGCTTCAACGTGCCCAGCAGCATACTCTTTATGAGATGACTCCATCCGAAGATCCAAGTTTCACTGCTGTTCAGTAATATGGCTTCATTACAGACTCTTTCAGCTACACTTTCCAGCTCAGAAAATATTAGTTAAAATAAAACCTAAGGATATAACATTTCTATGCACTTAGAGAAGGCCATAAACCCTGGCTAAACTGTGCTTCAAACTTCATTTTCAATAACAAGCAATGGAAATTATCGAGGATCATGGGAGAAGTACTCATTCAGTTTGCAGAAATGCTTTTAATTCTCAAGTGCATCAATGCTTTCCCTGTGGGAAGCAGCCAGAACACACCTCAAGCCTCACTGCTACCACTTCTCCAGGACGTTACTCTGGGTTCAGGATCATAAGTCTCACGGTAAGAGAATGAATCCCTCAAAATCCGCAGTTCAGGATGAACCACCACGCTTCCAGAGCTCATGATGCAAAACCCCTTCCTGATGACAGCTCCTTGCCTTGGATAATCTCATCAAGGAGGCTAGATGTTCACATGTGCTAAGAGATGTGCTGTGAGGCACGAGATCCGGAATTTGGCTTCTCTGAAGGCAGTTCAGAAGCGTTAAAGTGACACATTGAGATAGAGGAGAGAAGTTACTGAATCACAGCATCCCCCTTGCTTTGCACAAGCACCACCTGGACAAGTGACTCCACGTTGTTTAATGGAGGGCACTGGAACAGGAGAGGACTGGCCAAATATTTTCAAAGAGTGGGAGCGGAGAGCTATGAAGTCTGTCATCTGCTTCAAGGAATCAAAAGAGAAACCACAGCAGATTAAGCAAAAACATTTATTTTGAGCAGAATTTGCCCTATCTACTACGCGTTCTGTTCCTAATGAATAATCAAGATGTTATTTGGCTCTGAACTCCGTGGGGGAATACAATGTCACCACTGCAGCTGCCAAATTTCCCACTCCCAGCCCTTCAAATTAAGGGAGGGAAAAAATATTACAAATGTAAAATACTATTAGTAAAAGCCTGAATCTTTGCCCAAAGCCCAGCTCCTCCTGTAACGTTGCATTCTTTTCTTCTTGTGTAAACCTCTCATTATAACAGAGACATCTTCATAATATAATAATTCTGCTTATAATGTAGCTGCGGGTAACATAACTCCTACATTAGGAAAGGCAGCATGCTCGAGTAATGTTGTTCTAATGTAATTTGTGTACTGCAGGAACTGACTGAACGTGGTCATTTAGAATTTGATCAATGTGAATTAGTGTCCTAAAGAGATGAACCATCTGATAATTTAGAATATGATCAATGCGAATCAGGATCTCGCGGAGATGAAACATTTATCACGAAACATTTGGAATATCCATCTCACGCAGGCAACCACCAGAGCAGGTAGGAAGAGGCATCAATAAGGACAACAGACAAAACACAGAGGACCTGCCAGTTTCCTGGTACAAGCCCACATGGGGTATTCGGATTTTCCTTTTTAATGGGATGAATTATCTCTAAAGACCGGCAAAGTCGCAGTTGATATAATTTGAGGGAGTAAATAGAGGAAGGAAAGGAAAATCCAGGAAATATCTAAGTCATCATCCCCTCCTCTTCACTCTTGAAATGGATTTAGCTTAAAAAGTTGCAGAAGTGCAAGTTATCTGAAGAAAACTTAGTAAAATTCTAGACATGCTTAAAATTAAATCGAGACGGTTTCCTACCAACACCGCAATTAGGCCTATTAATCTTTCACTTGGAACTTGAAATCACACTGACATGCAGTACATTGGTTTATGCATTAACAAAATTATAAATTTAGCAGTTCAACCTTATTTAATTCTTCTTTTACAGACAATTAAACAAGCTCTTTAAGCACCCTTGCTTGAAACTCTGTTCTCAACCCTCACATGGAATTAAACTGAACATGAGAAGTGCCTGGTGACACTAAAACAGCATCATCTGTAGGTTTCACTAAATCATTTGTAATTTATCCATCAAGCCACGTACCAAAGACAAAGATAAAATAACATCTGCCATGCTTAAACTCTTAATAACAAAAAAAAAGAAAAATACATTTTAAAGGATGTATACAGGAAATTGTAAAAAGATACAGCAGTATTGATATTTGATTTATAAGGTAAATACCTTTCAGATATCATTTTCTTATATTTTTTTTTCTATTTAAGGCAATGGATCCAAAACTGGATCAACTAATCAATCCTCTCCAAATAATTTTGGGGAAAATTTGGCATGACAGGGCAGCACAGCAATTTCACTAATGGCATTACAGTGAAGACTAGTCTAGGAGGTGATTTCTATATATACCTTTAGACTCTAGAAAATTAAGAAAAGACCAATCTAATCAGCCTTAGGATTTTCTGATTCCCTCTCCAAATCCCTCTTTATTAAATACTCTTTTGGTTTATGCAGACTGAAATGTCCTCCAAAATAGCATTCTTAATAATCTTAGATATTGCATGATATGACTGACTGATGCCTGTTGCACCTACCAACTCTGTGCAAAAAGGAATCCAAAAGCATCAGATTTACTTGGGAAACTTTATATATTAGGGGGGAAACTAAATCCGGCTTCCCACCTCTGGCCACAACAAGCACCTAAGCTTCTTCACATGACAATAAAAGCTTGTTTTGAAAGAGCAGAAGTCAGATTAGGCACTAATTACATTTCAAAACCCACAAAACACCCAAGTGGAACATAGGAAGGAGAAATACTCCCTTGTTGGGACACAACCGACTTCTTGTCCATAAAGGGGGTCCTCCAAATCACATCTAAATGAGCCTCAGAGTCAACAGCCATTCTAGTTTGAGGGATCTTTCTTGAGGGGCAGAAGATTTTAGCCCTCAGTGATACGAACTTTCCATCACCAATCACTACAAAGATTTATATAAATACCTATGAACAGCTAAAAACTTGTGACAGTAACTAGAAGAACTTTGCAGTTTTACACCATTGTCAACAACTCTAAAAGTCTTTTAACTTCCCACCAAAAAGCCAGAAGAAAAACCCTTCGCAATCCTAAAAATGGTTGCAGGGCAGTACATTTTTGGTTATTGGTTGAGATTAGAAGGTTGTAAAAAGTACTTTTTGTGTCCTAATTAAATGATGAATAGAACCTCCTGCCTAATGGATGGACTGGCAGAAAGGGAAGCGTCCAAGGCTAAGGGTCAGAGCCACTTTGATCCATCAGTTACTATATCTTCATTTAAACATCCTCAGGACTAATAAGAATTATTTAATTTGACCTTCTCAGTGGGGGGCAAAGTTAAGTTGCTAATTTAAATCCTTTCAAATAATGGATGAATACTATTGTAATGCAAAGTTACAACCACATTTTTGCTCTTAATGAAAGTATTCTAGGAATATATTCCTTAAGCAGATTTCATGCATCTTATCAAATACAAATTAATTAGTATATAACTACTGGTACATCCAATTTCTATGCAATTTACAGTTCTATGTATTGGTTTCCAAATTCTTCCAAATTCTCTCATTTCAATAACCAGCATTTTTTTCCAGAACAGACTGATGTGATGGCAGAAAGGGGTCTTACTACGCACATTAATGTGGGTAAAAACGTGCCTTCTTCCCAGCCTCAAAAGCAATGATAAGAAAGACTTACTTGAACCGAGCAGACACTTCATCGGCAGCTTTCTGGTATTGCTCTGTGGTAACTTTGTAGAACTGCGCGCTCTGGAAAGTTGAAAAAAATCAAAAACTTAATAATACAGATTTTATATAATATCAATTACATAGATACCCATGCTTTTCAACCTACATCAATATGGACCTTCTGGAGAGCAGCTCTGCAGAGAAGGACCTGGGTGTCATGGTGGACGACAAGTTGACCATGAGGCAGCAGTTGCCCTCGTGGCCAAGAAGGCCAATGGGATCCTGGGGTGCATTAAG